GCCACCTCACTGCGGCAAGGGACAGCTGTGTCACCATGGCGAGGGACACCCACATCACCATGGTGAGGGACAGCCGCATCACCACAGGAGGAACACCCCTCTCACCGTGGTGAGGGACAGCTGTGTCACCGCAGCGAGGCACAGTCGTGTCACCACAGGAGGAACACCCATCTCACCGTGGTGAGGGACAGTCACATCACCGCAGGGCAACACCCGTGTCACCACAGCGAGGGACACCCGTCTCACCATCGTGAGGGACAGTCGCGTCACTGCGGCACCCACCTTGTGTGTGCCCGTCACCTTGGGCACGTAGGACACGGAGAACGTCCGGTTCTTGTCGTTGTTGGGCACCACTTTAGCCTGGCGATGGGGGGGGAAGAGCTGTGAGACCCCCTGACACCCCCTAAATGTCCCCGACACCCCCCAAAGACCCCCGGGGCGTCCCCACCTCCTCGCGGTGCCCGGCCGGGTCCTCCACGTACACCAGGACGTCACCCTGCCCGGCGCTGATGGTCTCCACGGTGAATTCCGCCCGTTGTTTCACCATGTTCCCCGTGGGCTCGATGCCTATGGGGACACAGCGACCTATAGCCGCCCCCCCCAGGCTGCCGAGGGCCCCGCGGCCCTATAGGGCCCTATGGCTATGGGATTCTCCTCCCTTATAGACATCCCCATGGCTAAGGATTCCACTCGGCTCTGCGGGGAGGGAAGAACCACCCTGGCTACCCCCAAGTCCTATAGGGAGCAGGGGCTGCCCCACACCTATGGGGAGCTCTGAGAAACAGGGCCCCATAGAGATTGTAGGGATGCCCCACGGCCCCGAGGAGCAAATCACAGCCCTATAAGAACCAGCATACGTTCCAGGAACCACAGATGGGCTCCTATAGGGACCAGGGTGCTCCTATAGGGACCAGGGTGCTCCTGTACGGAGCAAGGGGAATCCTATAGGGCCTGGGGGCGCCTCACCAGGGCCAGGGGCTCCCATACGGACCGGAAAAGCTCCCATAGGGCCTGGGGCACTGCTATGGGGATCCAGAGGGCTCCCATAGGGCCAGGGGGTCTCTATAGGGCCTGGGGGTCCCTCACCAGGGCCAGGGGGTCTCTATAGGGCCTGGGGCACTCCTATAGGGCCTGGGGCACTCCTATAGGGCCCGGGGGTCTCTATAGGGCCCAGCGTCCCTCACCAGGGCCAGGGGCTCCCATACGGACCAGAGAAGCTCCCATAGGGCCTGGGGCACTCCTATATGGCCTAGTGGTCTCTATAGGGCCCAAGGGTCTCTCACCAGGGCCAGGGACTCCCATAGGGCCTAGGGCACTCCTATGGGGCCTGGTGGTCTCTATAGGGCTCGGGGGTTTCTATGGGGCCCGGGGTCCCTCACGAGGGCCAGGGGCTCCCATAGGGCCTGGGGCACTCCTATAGGGCCTGGTGGTCTCTATAGGGCGCGGGGTCCCTCACCAGGGCCGTACGCTCGGGCCTTCTTGGGGTTGAGCTTGGGGCGCAGGGGGGCGCCCGGCTTGAGCTTGGCCTTGGGGAACTGCGACAGGTAGGTCCTGACCGAGGGCTC